CAGACTCTTATCTCGATACCCTTTTTTCTCTCGCATTTTCCCCAGAGAATCCCAGCTCATCGGCCCTAACTAGGCATGATATGTATCCGATATGCCCTTGTGCGATCCCCAGATTCCCCATGGTTTCTGAGATCCCTCCGCTCGTAAATCTGTCCAATCGTGCGATCGTAACATCAACCATCCACACCTACCAGAGAGGCCCTCACGTGCGAGAAAATACCACTGTAGTAGTACTATGCAATAGCTATGTATCGTGTAGCATGCTTACACATTCTCGGAGTCGCCGATGCGATTTCCTCGCCTTTATCTCAATTAGGATAGTGAAACCTCCGAAAGATCCGAATATTATATACCAAACAAGGCTCTCGTAAATGTTTAGTGACACCATCTTACATCTTGTGTACCCAGAATACACACAACTACGTTGTATCGAGGCTCACATTCACCGCTATTTGGAAACCAATTTCCAAGGTGACCACATATTATTCTCAATAGGTAAACAATACCCAACCAATATAAGCGACTATATACAAATATGCACCAATTCGCAGAGTATCAACCAAAAGAAGCAACACCATCCCTATATGCCCTGGACAAAGAAACAACTGAATAACTCCGCTCAACAATGCACGCCATTACAAATCTTGACAGTATTCCACAACAAAGCATCATTTCTTAGGCACACCCCTCAGAATGTCTGTCACCTTCATCCTCAGATCCATAAACGTCTTATCCTTCTTATCCAACTCTTCAAGCAGCTTCTCATACTTGGCCTGCCACTCATCCGCTGATAATTTGGATGCTGATTCCGCAGACATAGCTTCGGGACTCGGTTCTTTGGAATCCTCAAGCATCTCCACCGGAACAGCAATTTCCATCTGATACTGGCCCCTGATATGACCTAGGCCGTATATCCATTCACAAGTATACTTCATCGTACCGTCTTGCACGCCAACGCGTTTGAGTTTCGTCGTCCCGGCTAGGAGGTACCCGCCTCCTGTCATGGCAGCTAGGTTGATCAAGAACATGTCTGGTGATGCTGCCTTTCTGTACAAGTCTTCGAGAATCGAGTTGACGATCGCCATCGCTTCAGTCGTTGAGCATGTATGTGTTGGATTTCCTTCAGCATCGAGCCAATTTGCCCCGAAGAGACTGCGCATCATATAACCGATAACCTCATCCACATTGGTACGTTCTTCAAGCCTCTCGAAATACAACCTTGGAACGTCTTTTTGTTGTGACATTATATCCTCAGCTTGATGCTGTCGTGACATAGTCACTTCGTTCGTAGCTCTTGCAAAGTTCGATGATGTTCCGACGTATGTATGTGGAGGAGGAGCCTGAGTTTCACCGGGGCCGTTGATGACCACGACTGGGGGAGGAGTTGCAAGTCTAACACTGCCTGATGGTCTTTCGGGGACTTGTAAAGATATACTCGGGCGAGAAGGCCTCGGTGGAGCAGGGGTAGGATGCGGCTGTGATGTTATCGAGGGGATCGAGAAACTATTCTCTGACTGTCCACTAGCTGCCCCGGGAGCTGAGACTGGCGGAGTACAAATGGGGGCTACGAGTTCCTCAGGGGCTGTTATGGTGGTCGTGGAAGAAAACGGAGGCAGAGAAGCATCTATAGGAGTTCTGTTCATCGGTGGCCGTCCTCGTGGTTTGACACCACCGTTGGGAACTCCGGGTCTCCAGGCAGAAGACACATTCTTAGGCCCTCTCCGCTGCGTAGTAAGTCTCGGCTTGGATGGTGCAATAGCAGACTGTGGCTCAAGAGCGTCGTCCCAGAAAGACTTCCTCGAGTTCGGTGTAATAGCAGACTGCGGCCAGCGAAATAGGGGCGTCTGCTGAGAAGCATCACTCGGAGTCCATGGTGCAGCGCTTAGCCTCGTGGGATCTGCTGATAATGACATTGACATAGGACCGCTTACGGCCTCAACAGCTGATGACGGTGCGAGGTGAGATCTCTGAGCGGGAGAAGTGGCTGTGTCATCGTCGACGGGACGCTTCCTACCTCTCTTTGGCCGTATGTGTGGGAAAAGAGCCCTCAGAGCCATGTCATCCTCGATAGCCACACCATCGCGGATAGGCTGGCTCGTAGGGTTACTGTCAGTGGGGATCCTTGTCCAGTAATCATTCGGGATGTCCATCAGATACTCGAAGAAAGCCTTGACGTGCATGGAATTCATCCACTTCTAGACCAGTCTTTAGTGGGTAAACCTAGAGTTTGGGTGGCTCTACATCACATACCTTTAGTCTCACGCCATACTGTGCAACTTTCTGGGCACTCTCCTCCTTGTTAGGGTCTGGGGGCTCGACACCAAGCCTTGTAGTCAATTCTGTCCATGTCCGGATCTCGCTGTTGTAAAACTTGCGGACGAGTTCATAGATGGCGAATGTGCTGAAGGACTTGCCGCCGCTGCGAGGAGGATTACGGAACGCCTCTCTCAGACTTGTCGTGTCTGTAGAGAGCGGCACTGCCGGGTTGCAAAAGAAAACAAAGTCAACGTAAGCATCCTCTACCGTGTTCTCGGAAACGCTACGGTCCGGAAGGCCCGGGCTCGTGGTCGGAGGCGCAGCGGATCCGGCCCCCGATGCGCCGGGCTGAGGTGGAGGCTGAGTCTGGGCCGGACTCGGAGCCGGAGGAGAGTTGTTGACAGAGGCAGTTGACGGCATTTCGAGTTCATCTCTTCAAGTTTTTTGTTGGCCGTGAGTTATTTTAGCATGTCACGTCTTTTACATACTTGGCCGATTTTGCTGTTTCGTGTTTCGTCTCATGTGAGAATTGGGGGTAAACAGAGACAAGAGTAAGTGAGCCTGAAGGATGAGATTTGAGACATGAACTGGCTGGTCCAACGGGGCAACGGACGAGACGGACAAATGAGCCAAGGCTGAAGAAATCTCTTTGAGGGCAACGGTATTCCAGTTTAAGACAGTTTAAGAGTGTGATAGCCTTGCAGATACCATTTAGCGAAGAGTATTTCCACGCGTTTCAGAAATGAAAGGGGGATTCAAGTTGCAAATTAGGCCACCAAGCGATGGAGCAAAAGGGGCTAAATTTAGCAATTGGCCCAGGATGATGAGTTTCTGCTTACTGCCACTGTAGATCTATGTCCATATCTAAGTATGTACTTATCTATCTCGTATACAGTAAGACGGCCGTGCACAAATCAAGTTTCGCCGTCATCATTCACCAAGCGAAATGCTTTTCTTTCAACGTTAGCACACTCATATGTCTGGACGCCATTGTACTAGCCAATCTATCCCAACGCTAACAAACCCGTATAATTCCCGATGTACTCGCCCTAAAATTCTCATTGGTTCTCTCAACTATAGTACCTAATAAGGTTGGTAGGACAATTAACAAACAAGCTGTGTACAGTAATCAAAACCCTTTACTAATCAAATCGACTGTACGCCCTTGAGGCCATGGATGTCAATTGACCTCCAGCCAACGGTTGTGCATCTTGGAATGGCGTGCTCAAGCACATACGGCCTCATGGCCGATTATGGTTTGAGATGGTGAAGTGAGCTCGCTTTTGATTTGAAATCCATATGTTATGATGGTAACATCTCTAAGTGCAGATCAAAAGTATAAAGAGCTGAATAGGAAGCAACTTATTGCAGAGAGCATCTCCATTGATTCAACAATCAATTTAAATCATCACATTTGATATCTCTGCCATTCTCGCTATTGTGCAAACTCGCATCAGTTTCTCCGATATCCCTTCCGTCTCTGTCTTCGGTCCGTTTCATACATTTGGACGTATAAGTCTTGACGATGGCTGTCTCTTCAACTATTCCTCGTGGCGACGTCACTGCAACTTTGAACTTCTTCAATCCTCCCTCCGACAATTCAACTCCCTATAACCACGTCGATACTCCTCCCAAGGGTCTTCCTCAGCGCAACTTCACAGATAACCCTCAACCAACTGTCATACACGACATACGTGGTCATGAATCCGAGTATCATCTAGACCGTGATGCTTTCCAAGTCATCCAAGACGTTCCGCCCTCCAGCGAGATCGACTTCGTTGATGATGATTCTATCAAGGAGAACTACTACCCCGAGCTCGAACAACTTCTCCTCAACAATGTTCCTGGCTCTAACAGGGTCTTCTTCTTTGATCACACTATTCGTCGTCAAACACCCAATGCTACTCGTGCGCCCGTGACTCGTGTACACATTGATCAGACAGCTGCGGCTGTAGCCCAGCGAGTTCGCAGATACTTCCCAGAGGAGGCAGATGAGCTCCTCAAGCGTCGCTATCGTCTCATCAATGTCTGGCGGCCTCTGAATAAGAGGCCCCTTGAGTCTTTTCCTCTGGCTGTTGCATCCTCTGCTTCTGTCGAAGACGACGACGTCATCCCTGTTGAGCACCGATACCCAGATGGGTACCGCGGTTGGACTGCAGCGATTCAGCATAACCCCGAGCAGAAGTGGTACTACCTCAGTGGCATGATGGGCAGCGAGAGGCTGTTGCTGGAGTGCTTCGATAGCGAGTCTCTCAAGCCGGGATCTAGTATCAAGGGCCGTGTGCCGCATACTGCTTTTGAAGATCCCAGGACCCGAGCTGAGGCGGAAGGTCGTGAGAGTATCGAGGTGCGCGCATTGGTATTCGGCCCTTGAAGCCGCGTTGCTTGGAAGGGGAAAAGAGAGAGCATGGCATTGGAGTTTATGATATTATCATGTGTTGATCCAGTCGCAGTCAATTTGATAACAAGCATGACATTTCTAGTTCTATTCATCGAGTCTCAGTCCGCTAGAAAAAAAGTGAAAACATATCCATTGCTGATGATTCAGCCCGTTTCTTCATCCACAAGCCTTGAGTAAAACTCATCCCAGCTTGATGAGCCCATTCAACAGACCCCAAACCGTCTGCTGCTGTAGTCTTTTGGTCTTCCATGGAATCAGATGCCGCCGTAAGCCAAATCGATGCTACGCCCTTGCGCCGCGCTTGCAATACTATAAGAGGAAGTCATTTGCGCCGCGAGAATCTCTAGTTCTTACGTCCCTTGCCACGCGTACTGCTGCTACCTTGGCGGCTCATGGCAACTCCGCCGGCACTGCTCTGGCGACTCATAGGCACTGCGGCGCTGGACAGAGCTGCTACTGAAGTAGCTGCACCAGCATGTGCTGGGCTTGGCTGATCCCGAAGGCTGCTGAGAGCTGGTAGACCCAATGAATCGCGAACAAATTCTGGGTCTTCTCTAGGCGCGCTAGTAAAGGCGACATATCGTGAATGCTGGTAAGGTATTGATACAGCAGCGAGAACCCGGCGCATTCCAGTTGGGCGATCAAGGTGAGCTCCAGGCTTGTGTGCTGCGTCGTATTGCTTGAAGAAACCCATGATCGTAAGATCAGAGGTGATATCGTCATTTGACAGAGGTACAGGGAAGTTCTGGTCCGCTGTACGAGGGTAGGGCTTGAGATATTGCTGGGGGACCGGAGGAGGCATCTTGGGGGGTTCGTGGGCGTGGAGGATATCCAAGTTGTGAACTTCGAAATTGGTGATACCTTCAAGACCCAAAATCTTGTCGTCAAGTAAATTACCGCCACGAGTGCTACGGGTAGCGTGCGAGACGGAGCGCTCCATAGCTGGGGCAGAAGGCTGAGAATCGGCGTCCTGGTCGCCGTTGGCTTCACCGTTGCCGGAATCGCTGTCTTCGGGAGAGCCGCCGCCACTGACACGGTTGCGAAGAATGTACTGATGCGCAGCAAGGGCAGCAGTGTTATAATTGAGCGACAGCTCCTTATCGGTGAAAAGCTTGTCAATGCTGTAGATAGGTCCGTTCTGCTTAGCAGCAGCACGAGCCTTCTCAGACTGCCACAGAGGTGTCGTGTTGTGGTTGTCGAGGGCTCGTCGTGTCGGGGCAGGTGAGCCGTCGTCATCGCCGGCGTTTCGCTTCCGCTTCTTGTTGTCGGAATACATCTGCAGATCGTCGGCGTCCTTGCGCAGACGTGTGGCTCGCTTTCCATGGGGGCCACCAGGGCTCGCAGGATTGGTCAAGCTGAACTGATTGGGGTTGAGTAGCAAGGCATTGGAATCATTAATCTCCAAAACCTCTTTTTCGCGGTTTAACCGGTTCTTCTTGTGGGTGAGGGTATTGACCAATCGATCTCGAAGGGTGCTGGTAAGGGCTCGGTGCTCACGCTTAGCGGTCTCGACCTTGTAATCGTAAGTGTTTCTATATTCTTCTCGCCGTCGGTCATATTCATTCTGTTTTGGATAGATGGTTAGCAAGTTACTTGGCCGTGTGGCGTGGGAAGGTTTTTTTACTTTTGACTGCGCCAGCTGAAAGTCACGAATTTCTACCAAATCCTCGACTTCGTCAACGAAGTCAGAGAATCGGATGCCAGCCATGTCAAGCAGGCTTCGAGCATCTTCGGCGTTGACCGGAGGTCCTTGTGTGTTGGTATGTTCCTTCTGGAGTTCAGAGACGACCTCAAGGACTTTTGGATCGTAAGGGTCGAAGCGCTGTACGAGATTGATGTCGAACTGTATCTTCTGGAGCTGATCGCGATATGTCATGTCCCTTTCCCGATGGAACTTATCGGTCATACTAGAGAGTCTCTCTATGAGAGCCTGTCGCTTGCGATCTCTTTTGGACTGGGAGGCGGGAGCAGGAGAGCGTCGGTCGATTCGGTTGGCCATGTTTGCAAGGGCCGCTGCTTCGTTGGCGGCCATTGCAAATAGTTGCGGTTGTGTGTAAGTGGCGTCTGATATTGACAAAAAAGCTTCTGTAGGCTTCAAGAACAGAATTCAGAAGGCTGAGCTGAGAGCCGTGCTATCTTCGTGATTATGGGTTCAAGGCTGAGGTTGTAAGGGTTGGGAGAGTAAAGAGTCCATGCAACTTGGGATAGAAGAGCTGAGTGCAAGTGAACGAGATGGCCAAGACAAATAGAATCAGAGGGCGCCTACTCCACAACAAGTTGGTAAAAGTAGAATAGAGCAGGCAAACGAACAATTGCCAGCGTCAGTGCCAGTGTAATGCAACGCAATGTTAGAACAATGTGAGCAGTGGAAGTAGAGCGAGCAACCAGGGAAGTGTTTCTATTGTCTCGGCTCAAACTGGGAGAGACAGAGGCCCAGAGAGGCATGACCTCGCCGGGGCGCTTGTTAGTGGCCTCACCGCCTACTGCAAACGGCAGTGTAGGAAAATAGTGCCCCGGGCCGATCTTGTCATGCGACCCAGTCAGTGGAGTGATTGGCTGTACGGTCGTAGTGCGAGATACTGTGCTTACACGGCCAGCCACAGAGCTTAAGGTACTTAACCTTTAACAGTGACAATTGATACGTTCAGAGGAACACTGGAAACAATAGATTTTATACATAAGTAGCTTTCAGTATGAGAGTTCTATCATTGGTTCACAGACCTCCTCGAAGCTTGTGCAACTGGCTAATCAGTCCAAACCCACCCGGTGCCTTTGTGTCCTCTACCACAGTCGCTGCAGCATCTCTAGTGACACTGCCTTTCCGTGACCGTGATTCCACTTTAGTCTTCTCCTTTGTCTGCTCGATTTCCTTCATTAGATCCCGATGCTTGTCTTCAACCGTCTTGGCAAGACTCTCTATAAACTTATTTCGTCCCTTCTCCTCTGCTGTGTCCTTCCATACACGGTTAAGCTCCTTGAGTTGTTCAATTCTCTGTGCCGCTTTCTCAATGCCTTGAACAGGGTCGTCAGACTTGTTCAGTAGATCTGATATCTCGTTTCTGATGTTCTTGAGTACTTCCTTGCCTTTTTCCTCAGAGCTTTGCTGTGCTGAACCTGGTTCGGGTGCTGATACTGAGAGGAAACCGGAGCTGACCGAGATCTCTGATGGTGGAAAGACGAATTCCATGGCATCACCGAATGTCTTAATAACTGAGTCCAGGCGTTCTCGCACAAGAGTCAATGTTTGTAACTGTCTGATGAATTCAGGGTCGTCTGGATTGGCTCCATTGTTGGCAACAGCTGCAGCAGTTGTCGACGGTGCCGCACTCCGATCTTCTTTAGCAGCCGCCGCTGCGGCATTCTTTGCCTCAATGGCTTCTTGCAATCCTTCGGGAACAAACTTCTTGATGTCGTCATGAAGCGTCTCATTCATAGTCTCCTGGAGACTCAATGTCTCGCCTCGTAGTAGCTCCACCTCATAAGCCAAACGACTCCCGCTTCTCAGAATATCATCAGTAAGATGCGTAAGAGTAGTTGACAGCCGTGAAGTCTGGGCGTTAAGTTGTGAAATAAGAGTCTGAGCTTGTGTGGACAGCTCAGCGAGCGGTGCGACATCTCCGGTCCGGCCGGGTATAGGGCGCTGCTGCAGTGGAGGAAGGGTTGAGTTGAGGAAAGTTGCGGGATCAAATGTAGGGTCTAGAAAGTCTTGTAGGAATTCATCTGATGTATGTGTTGACTTTGGCTGGATAACAGCTCTTGACTTTCGTCTCGTGTGTCCTGGTCTTGTAGCTGCGCTGCTGGTAGCCCTTCGGCGGCCAGTTTTCAGATCAGTAGCCATCTCCGATAAGCCTTATATGCATAGGGTCCTCTCTAATATCTCGATTTTATGAATATTTGTCGTTATAAAAGTGGTTTAGAAGTCACAAGGGGTATGGTTTCTGACTGAGCCATGGTGGCCACTTTGGGGTCGTTGGCACTGAATGCATGACCTAACCGATGATAACCCGGGTCACCCAAAATCAATTGCCCACTTACAACAATCACCACTCTGTTAGCAACAGACTTACAAAACCTCGTTCATAACATGAGTGATTCTCAAGAAGAAATGAAGATTGATCCCTCAAGGGCTCAGGCACTTGTTTCTCAGATCAATTCTGTCAAAGAGCGTATTGCTGCCGTAGCAGACGGTCGAAATGTATGCATGACACTCACTCTCACTCTCATATTCAAACATCGATGAATATACCCTGGCTTACATCTATATCAGGTCCGACTTGTCGCTGTCTCAAAGCTCAAGCCTGCAAATGATATTCTAGCACTTCATCGGGCTCCAACTTCCCATACTCACTTTGGCGAGAACTATTCTCAAGAGTTGACTCAAAAAGCAGCTATGCTTCCGAAAACTATTCAGTGGCATTTTATCGGTGGTCTCCAGTCTAGTAAGAGGCCTGACTCATATCCAGGGAACCATGCATACTAATATGATATGTTAGGCCATTGCAAGTCCCTGGGAAAGATCCCCAATCTCTTCTGTGTCTCAAGCATAGATACTTCCAAGAAGGCCCAACTTCTCAATACTGCCCGCACAAATCTTCTTTCTTCACACCCTAATCTCGACAAGATTGGTGTCCATGTGCAAGTCAACACATCCGGAGAGGAAGCCAAGTCTGGCTGTGCCCCCGGTGAAGAGACAATCGCTCTATGCCGTGAAGTCATTGAGAAATGCCCCAGCCTCCGTTTCCTCGGTCTCATGACCATCGGGGCTATTGCTCGCAGCAAAGCCACTACCACTGAGACTGAGAATGAGGACTTTGTGACTCTCAAGGAGCAGCTAGACCTTGTGGCTAAGGAGCTGAATTTGGATAAGGATAGCCTGGAGTTGAGCATGGGTATGAGTGAGGATTTTGAAGGTGCAATTCGCCTGGGAAGTAGTGAGGTCCGTGTAGGCAGCACTATTTTCGGGCAGAGGCCAGCTAAGGCCGATGCAAAGATCAAGGAGTAAGTAGCGAATTAAGGCAAAGTCAACCTCATTCATGCCCACTTTCTTCGACTTAATGGGGCGCTCCAATGTACCAACATCTGCTCCATCGCCTTCACCGCTTGATAACATCTTTCTTTGTATCATATTCATTCAATTTACAATGAGAGATCGTGGTATGTAACAACTGCATCCTCCTTGATCAGATCACTCCGCACAGCTTTCATCGCCTTGTGCGGTAAAGAGGGACTATACAAGGAGGATAGACGCAGGCAACTTTTCAGCCAATGAACTATTGGCTTTAATTGAGCGCTTCCTCCGATTTCATGCTAGTTCCCCAACGCCCATATGCTTCTGTGGTATTATAACAACTCCTGTCCGGCGAATATATAGAAGATAAACATCATGTTCTCCCATCAAGTCACCATCACATTACGGAAAGAGTCCGAAATATGCTCCCGTGAGGGCGGCTCGAACCGATCCGGTCCCGTTGAGATTCCTGCAGCAAGGCGTTCTTGCATATACTTTAGCAAGACCGCTGGCACGGAATCATCTGTGGCACGGACAGTTAATCGAATCATCTGTTGAACAGTTAGAATATGCAACATCTGAAGCGGAATGGCTTCGCCTACCTGTTGTCCGTAGTTTGGTTCCAGTCTCATAAGACAACCAAACTTGCCTCCTTGAGATGTGTGGAGCACGCTCGCACCAACAACGTTCTTGGGGTTGGGGTCAACCATGTCCAGCACACGCCATCTGAAGCCCTCCACTGTCTTTGTAACGAAGCTCTCTGTGATTTCTCTGTCGCCCTTACCACTGACTCCGAAAATGGCCTGCGCCTCCCGTGGGGCACCACCAATCTGCTTCCATCTCTTGAAAAAGTCCTCAGCAGTCAACTCTGCCGGATCCATGAATTTGTGTATAGACACGGGAAGTTTCAGAGTGAGAGCCTGTAGTGCACCAGCCAGGTAGCTGATGCGTACAGTCGGACTCTTCTCGAAAATCTTCTTTGCTTCGAACATAACAACTTGCTGGGACTGTCCACCTTGCACAATGGTACTATCAGGGAGGTTCTTGACGTCCCAGGTAAGGTTCTCTTTTTCGTTCTCGTCCAGATCCAATGTCGTTGTGAAAGAACTGATAGTTGCTGGTGTCTTGTTCTTAAAATATGTGATCAAGCAAGCCATCTGGCCACGATATTCTGATCGAACACCGATCTGTAACTGGCCGTCTTCGTATAGAACGCCGTCTGATCTAACAAGAAGTCTGTTAAATCCTTGCTCCCATCCGGGTGACAAATGAGCCGCACTGGCCAAGTTAGGGGCCTTGAGCATCTTTGGCTCAGATGGTGTGGGTGCGTTGAGATCGAGCCCAGCCAAATCGGCAACTCCATTGCTATGACCGTTTGTACCAGTTGCAGCCTGGCCATTCGGTTTGCCGTTCAGTGGGGCGTTCGAGCTGAAAGTCCTCTTGAGTGCTCCAGTACCCATGCTAAGTTCCCGAGCGTCCGCATTGGCATCCTTTCCTCCCACCACCCAGGTCCTTCGGTCGCTCGTATTAGCATGTTTCTGGTGTAGTCTTGAGAGAAGTGCAGACTGTCGTTCAGGGAAAGGAGGCATCTCATCGCAAACTGTTCGGAGGAGGTCATCCGTTGGCATATTCACAAGGGTTAAGTATTCACAAGCTCTCTGCTGAAGCTCGGAGTCCAGGTTGTGGCTGTGAAACTCAAACACGTGAATAAGCTGAGGCTTGATTTCCGGGAACAAGTTGACATATTTGACAAAACACGAGAGAATCATGGCACGGGTACTCGAAGAGCATGCCGTCAGCTTGCCCTGAAGAGCCATAAACTGCTCAATAGGACTGCAGCGAGGCTGGTCAGCAACCAAATGACCAAACTCTCCCAAAATATAGGCGCCAATCTTGACCAGAGTCTCGTGGCAGTGGTCGCCCTTGACATATTGTAGCGCATTCTGAGCTGCGTAAACCTGTAGCTCCTCGTTGTTCGTCACAATTTGAATAACTCGCTGCCACACCTCATCGCTGACGTGGTC